GCAGCAGGTTTAAAACAAAGAGAAGGAAATATTTCTTCACACAACACACAGTCATCCTGTGGAACTCGTTGCCAGGGGATGTTGTGAAGGCCAACACTATAATGGGGTTCAAACAGAACTAGATAAGTTCATGGAGGATAGGTCCATCAATGGCTATTCACCAAGATGGACAGGGACGCAACCCCGTGCTCTGGGTGTCACTGTCCCTAACCTCTGCCAGAAGCTGGTACTGGACGACAGAGGATGGATCACTCAATGATTGCCCTGTTCTGTTCATTCCCTCTAAGGCACCTGGCACTGGCCACTGTCGGAAGACAGGACACTGGGTAGATGGACCATTGGTCTGACCCCGTGTGGCCATTCCTATGTAACCCATGGGCCATGGCTGACACAGGACAGAGCATTAACAGCCCTTTCCCCACGATGACTGTGAGCCTGAGCTGGCCAGAGAAAAATCCCATTGGGGAACCTGTCTGGTGGGCAAAGGGGCTTCCCCGCCAGTGAGAACCCCAGCAGAAATGCAAATCTATTTTAGCTCCTTCTATGGCTCTAGCACCATATTCTTTATCTCACGCCCATGCTGGAGCACCCAGCCCTGCTGTCAGGGCCATCCCTAGGGGATTGCAAGACCTGGGACAAGTCAGTCTCTCTGCTAGTCTCCTCGCTGTCTGCCCGGCAGCCCCCCCACCCCCCGTCCGCCCGCCCACCTGCCTCCTCACCCTGCTTGTCCGCCCACCTCCTCACCTGAACATCGGGACAAATGGCGTCCCGATCATACATCGGTCAGAATGTGGGACAAAGGGCTAAATATCGGGACAGTCCCAATTTTATCAAAGCGCGGGGCCCCCCAAAACACGGAGCCCAGGGCGGTCGCCCCGATTCGCCCTACCCAAGGGACGGCTCTGCCTGCTGTGCTAGGCACTTGTGGCCTGTAACACCAGAGCATTCGTGGATTTACCCCCATGCTGCGAGGCAGTATGATTGCATATGAGCTGGGGATTAATATGTCCATTGCACAGAGCACATCCCGAGTTCACATGATTCACCAAAGGAATCAGTGACAGGCGAGAGTGGAAACTGACCCCAGCTTTCCTGTGTCCTAGGCAGGGCCTGAGCCACAAAACCATCCCACCACTAGCCACACTGGAAAGTGCTCTGGTGCCCACAGGCTGGAATCTTATCTCAGCAGCCTCTAAGCCCGGACTAATTTCCTTCACTACCTCCAGAGATCCTGTCCACACAGACCTTGTGGGAACGTCACAAGCACAGACTTCCCCGAGAGGGGTCACCTCCTCCACTGCGCTCTGGCTACAGCCAACCAATGTACCCAAAGTCCCATGTTGTGAGTAAGGGTGGTAAGATTTTGCCTGGGCATTCCATGCTCTGGGGCATTGGGCTGGGGGTGTGGGTGGAGCTATGAAACTGCCTTCGTCATCTCAGCTCTGCATCTTTCAGCATCTAAAAACATGTCCCATTTGCGGAGTTCCGAAGCCATTGGGTTCTCCAAGTAGCTGCTTAGAATCATAGAATATCAGGGTTGGAAGGGACCTCAGGAGGTCATCTAGTCCAACCCCCTGCTCAAAGCAGGACCAATCCCCAACTAAATCATCCCAGCCAGGGCTTTGTCAAGCTGGGCCTTAAAAACCTCTAAGGATGGAGATTCCACCCCCTCCCTAGGCAACCCATTCCAGTGCTTCACCACCCTCCTAGTGAAAAAGTTTTTCCTAATATCCAACCTAAACCTCCCCCACTGTAACTTGAGACCATTACTCCTTGTTCTGTCATCTGGTACCGCTGAGAACAGTCTAGATCCATCCTCTTTGGAACCCCCTTTCAGGTAGTTGAAAGCAGCTATCAAATCCCACCTCATTCGTCTCATATGCAGACTAAACAATCCCAGTTCCCTCAGCCTCTCCTCATAAGTCATGTGCTCCAGCCCCCTAATCATTTTTGTTGCCCTCCGCTGGACTCTTTCCAATTTTTCCACATTCTTCTTGTAGTGTGGGGCCTAAAACTGGACACAGTACTCCAGATGAGGCCTCACCAATGTCGAATAGAGGGGAATGATCACTTCCCTCGATCTGCTGGCAATGCCCTACTTATACAGCCCCAAATGCAGTTAGCCTGTTTGGCAACAAGGGCACACCATTGACTCATATCCAGCTTCTTGTCCACTCTAACCCCTAGGTCCTTTTCTACAGAACTGCTGCCTAGCCACTCGGTCCCTGGTCTGTAGCTGTGCATGGGATTCTTCCATCCTAAGTGCAGGACTCTGCACTTGTCCTTGTTGAACCTCATCAGATTTATTTTGACCCAATCCTCTAATTTGTCTAGGTCCCTCTGTATCCTATCCCTATCCTCCAACGTATCTACCACTCCTCCCAGTTTAGTGTCATCTGCAAACTTGCTGAGGGTGCAATCCACGCCATCCCCCAGATCATTAATGAAGATATTGAACAAAACTGGCCCCAGGACCGATCCTTGGGGCACTCCACTTGATACCGGCTGTGACAAACTGGGACTGTTCTTACTGTGGTCTGTGAATGCTGACAGGGGAGTGTGGCTAGGATAGTCTGCATTGGGGGATGGGAGACTGCCCGAAGGAGAATACCTGAGCGTGTAACATGAGAACCCAGGGAGGGGTTGGAGGCCAGGTGACACCTTGGCCCGGGAAACTGAACAAGGGCTGTGGGAGGGGTTGCTGAAGGGAGAGTTTTGGAAGCTGGCTGGTGAGATGGCTGGGGTCCTGTTGTCTGTGCCTGCAAGACCTGTCTTGGACTGTATTCCTGTCATCCAAATAAACCTTCTGCTTTACTGGCTGGCTGAGAGTCATGGTGAATCGCAGGAAGCCGGGGGTGCAGGGCCCTGAGTTCCCCCACACTCCGTGACACCGGCTGCCAACTAGACATGGAGCCATTGATCACTACCCGTTGAGCCCGACGATCTAGCCAGCTTTCTATCCACCTTATAGTCCATTCATCCAGCCCATACTTCTTTAACTTGGTGGCAAGAATACTGTGGGAGACTGTATCAAAAGCTTTGCTAAAGTTAAGGAATAACACATCCACTGCTTTCCCCTCATCCACAGAGCCAGTTATCTCGTCATAGAAGGCAATTAGGTTAGTCAGGCACGACTTCCCCTTGGTGAATCCATGCTGACTGTTCCTGATCACTTTCCTCTCCTCTAAGTGTTTCAAAATTGATTCCTTGAGGACCTGCTCCATGATTTTTCCAGGGACTGAGGTGAGGCTGACTGGCCTGTAGTTCCCCGGATCTTCCTCCTTCTCTTTTTTAAAGATGGGTACTACATTAGCCTTTTCCCAGTCATCCGGGACCTCCCCCGATCGCCATGAGTTTTCAAAGATAATGGCCAATGGCTCTGCAATCACATCCGCCAACTCCTTTAGCACCCTCGGATGCAGTGCATCCAGCCCCATGGACTTGTGCTCGTCCATCTTTTCTAAATAGTCCCGAACCACTTCTTTCTCCACAGAGGGCTGGTCACCTCCTCCCCATGCTGTGCTGCCCAGTGCAGTAGTCTGGGAGCTGACCTTGTTCGTGAAGACAGAGGCCAAAAAAGCATTGAGTACATTAGCTTTTTCCAAATCCTCTGTGTGACGCAGCCGGGAGTGGGGAGTATTGACCTGGGAAGGTTGCAGGGGAGTTTTACTGGGACTGTCTGCATTGGGGATGGGAGACTTTCCTTGAGGGAAGATACCTGAGCATCTTGGTTGGGGCCAGGTGACACCTTCTGCCCGGGAAACTGGACAAAGGCTGGAGGAGGAACCCGGGGGGGGGGGGTGTATGTGTGAGACGGCTGGAGGGGGTGGGTTTCAGTTGGGAGCTGGCTGGGGAAACGGAGGAAGCCCCAGGTCTGGGGTCTAAGTTCCCTGCCTCCCAGAAGGACTTGACTGGGGAGTCCTGGTTGTACCTACGAGCTCTGTTTGGGACTGTGTTCCTGCCGTCCAATAAGCCTTCCATTTTACTGGCTGGCTGAGAGTCACGGTGAATCACAGGAAGTGGGAGTGAAGGGCCCTGACTCCCCCACACTCCGTGACAACCTGTCACTAGGTTGCCTCCCCCATTCATCAAGGGGCCCACACTTTCCCTGACCTTCTTCTTGTTGCTAATATAGCTGTAGAAACCCTTCTTGTTACTCTTAACATCTCTTGCTAGCTGCAACTCCAAGTGTGATTTGGCCTTCCTGATTTCACTCCTGCACGCCTGAGCAATATGTTTATACTCCTCCCTGGTCATTTGTCCAGTCTTCCACTTCTTGTAAGCTTCTTTTTTGTGTTTAAGATCAGCGAGGATTTCACTGTTTAGCCAAGCTGGTCGCCTGCCATATTTACTGTTCTTTCCCATTACCGAGGAGATGCACACACTGTGCTTTCCCCTAGAGACTGTGAGGCCAATAATATGAGACCAGGCAAAATGACACTGACAAAATAAAATCAGGTTCAAAGTTCTGAGTAAGAGACTAGGGCTCTTCTGCAGCAGCTCAGCTGCCCCTCTTGCGTTCCACCCCCCACCCCCCACCCCCACAAGTGTCTGGCCTCGCACTCTAGACTGCGCTTTTGATAGTGGGATACGTAGTCGTGTAGGGCCTGCTTTGCGCTTGTCTCCCATAGGAGGCTAGCTTTTAATAAGAGCTCAGCATCCACCAGGCTCCCATCCTGCTGAGTTCTTTGGAAAATTCTGACCTGGGTGTCACTTCCGTAAGTCACACCGGTGGTTGTGTTCTACACCTGCCCAGCCTGGGTGTCAGTGACAATGCAGAGCAGAATCAGACCCACTAGGTATATGGGAAAGGCTTTGAAGAACAGTTTCAAAACTACAGGAAGGCCAGAGCAGAGCATGAAGTCCCAGAAAAATTCCTCGTTTTACACAACCTTCCCTCCACCATGCTGCCCAACTGCAAAGAGCCCTAGATTATCGGCACTGCACTAACCCCAACAAAGGGAACCCCCTCTCCCCCAAGAAATACACCCACGACGTGATTTCTACAATTGTTTTATTATCTGCCCAGGAAAGTTTCTCTGAGATGTGGCTCTTTCAGCTTATCATGCGTTATTAGCGATGGTCTGAAAGAAAAGCAAACCAAAGTATATCACGGCAGGATACAATAAACTACAGCAGAAATCATATTCTCGGGGCTTGAAGCCCTGTGCATGTGTAACGTGATGCCCCTGAGTGGCTCGAACCTGGGACCTCAGGATCATAACTAACCCAGCAACCTCTAGTGCCTGAGCTAAAAAAGCCGCTTCCCTTAGCCAAGGCTGGAGCAGGATCATCAGCCTCCACCTCTAGGCCAGCAGCTCCCAGACTTTTTACTAAGACAACCCGACAACTGCATTTTGTCACCATTGCCCCTGTGCAGCTCCCCCACCCCTGCTCAGTCCTCCAGCCCCTGTTCTCCCCTCCCTTCCCCTTCTGAGCCCTTCAGCCTCCTGCTCCCCTTTCTCTCCCCAGCCCCCCAGCTCTCGCTCTCCCAGTCCTGCAGACCCCGGTGAGCCGCTGCGGCCAGGCCACAAATCGCTACCCAGCTGCTGACTGTCCATTCGCTGGCTCCAGCCGCTTCCTCCATGCTGTGGCTGCTGCCCTGGCCCTGCTCTCACATCCCCTGCGCAGCAGGCACATGGAGGAAGTGGCCAGAGCCAGCAAGCGGAGAGTCCGCAGCCTCTCCCCATCTGGAAGGTGCCTCAGATGTGCTTCGTCCACGCTGCTGCCGCCGCCCAGGGGAAATGAGAGCGCGGGGGGCCCAGACCCTTCCTACGACCCACTGGCCAGGACCCGCCGTTTGGGGTGGGGGTGTCCAGTGCCACAGCACATGGGCATGGCTCACACTCCCCGCCACGCGCCAGAGGTTACCCAGGTCCAGGCCCTTGCCTGACACAGTCTGCCCTTCTCGCTGCATTCCAACAAGGAAGGGGAAATGGTTGCCCCCCAAACCATCTGCTAGGAAAACTGAGGCCCCAAAGGCCCAGGCCTGCTCTCAGTGACGCTGGTTTGACACTTGTCGAGTTCATCTGAGCCGGTTTGTGCCCTGAGTTACACGGGTGTAAATCCAGACAGTCATGCCACTCGCTGCAGCAGAGGCACTGGTGTAACTGAAAGTGGAGCCTGGCCCTGACTCCAGAGGAACTCCGCCACTGGGAGCAGTGAAATCCAAATCCGGCCCAAAGGGTCAACCAGAGCACAGGGCACCAGAGCTGGGATTACAGTGCAACAACTCCAGTTTGCAGGTGCATGCTTCAGCCACTAGGCCATGCTGCCCCCCCCGCCCCCCCAACACCTCCCTCTGCCTGCCTCCAGCCCCGGCTCACTGCAGGACAGAGCTCACAGCCACAGCCAAGCCAGATGTTCTGTCTCAAACCATCCCTGGAGCCGGGTGGTGCTGCAGGCCACCAAGCATCCTGCTTGCGGCTCTGGGTCATCACACGTGTGTCAGTGGAGAAGCACATCCGAGCTACTTTGCCTCCAGTATCTGCTGTGCTGAGACCAGCTCTTCCAGGCTCCAGATCTTACAGAAACCCCTTTGCAGGCCAGACTCAGCTGTTCCTTATTTTGCGCTACAGTGACATGGGCTGCGTCTGAGTTTCCAGCTGCCGGAAGAGGTGAGGCACAAGGGGGACCAAAGGTGACGTCACATGCTCCGAGGGGCCCCGCGTGCTCAGTGCTGTGTGCGGGACAGCTGGCTGTGATCTCTGGATGAGGCCTGTGGCACTGATCTCGGCTCAGAGCCCCAGGAGGACACCACTCAAATTCTGTTCATGGAGAGAGCCCCCAAACATTGTCCGTCTGGGGGCCCCTGTCCTGTCCATTTACTCTGGGTGACCTCCCAGGACCCCCTGCCTGGCCATGAGATTTCTCCCTGGCCCTCCCCAGCAGCAGACTCACTCCCACTGCTCACACAGTAACATGGCTGGGGTCTCACCTCTGCAATCCAGTCATCGAAGGCGGAGACGCGGGTGAAGACGGTGGGTTTCTTTAAGGCGTTGCAGCCAAGGGAAGAGACAAAGCTGGCGATGCCATGCACCTGCCATCTCCCATCAGAGGCCTTGCAGTTAAGGGGGCCACCAGAGTCACCCTGAAAGATAGACAGCCCCTGTGCGTGAGGGCGAGTCAGATCCCTGATCCCTCACTCGCTGCCTGCTGGGCTAGAGTGTGGAGGCTACAGCTGTGCACCAGGCTCTGGGGGCGAAGTCCAGTGCGTCACTGGGGCCATCTCCAAGGCTGTCACCACAAGGAGGCCTAACCAGTGCCTTGAACCCTCTCACCCAGAACTGGCTGTGAAATGGTCAGGCTGAGAGAAGGAAAACATTCCAGTGCAGCTGAGTCTGACCTCTCCGCCCTTCTCTGCACTGCTGCTGTTAGTCATGGGATTAGGCGAACAAAGACAAGGCTTTTGCATCAGCCGTGCAGGAATGTCTGAGCAGGAGTGTTACCTGGGCCTGGGCCGGTGAATAGGGAGCTCTTGACTCAGATGCTCCTATTCACCCAAAGCAAATTTCCAGCCTGACATTTGTACCATTTACAAGTCACATAGCATTGGTGTTACAGCCTCACTGCTCTGGCTTCTCCTCCCTGACTGGCTGACATGTAACTAACCAGCAGACCAGACGCTGTCAGTTTTACAGTCAATCTGTGCTGTGCTGGCAGTGCCGGCTGCCGGTTGTGTGTCCGGGTGTGAGAGCTACAGCCCAAACTGCAGGCACCAGCCGATTACCGGGAGAAATGGTGAATTACTCGGAATCACACTCACCGTTCAGAATTTCCCAACCCAGCAGCTGATGAGCAGAGAAACTGCTCAGCTCTTCTCATGGGCTTTCCTGGGAGCAGGCTACACAGCTACGTGGAGACAGGTTTCTGCCTCCTGCAACCTTCCTGTGCATCACAAGGGGGGTGCAGTGAGTGCTGCCTACAACAGCGACAAAGCATGTGACCCGCGGGTAACAGCTGAGTCACCACTGTACGTTTGACTAGTGGGTGCCTGCATCAGATGCGGTAATTTGGCCAGACAGATCACAGCCAGCGCTGCACCAGTATTTTCCGCCACTCTCTTTCTACTCACGTTGCAGCCTGATCTGATGTCCCCGCCAGCGCAGACCATGCTGTCTCTGATAGCGATGCTGCCCCACCAGTCAGGCTGGGTGCAGTGTGCATAGTCCACCACCGGGAGCAGAGCCTGCTGCAGCTTCTCAGGGAGGGACCCGCCAGCTGCAAACGGAAGATGCACCCTTACTTAGTGACACCAAGCCCAGGTACTGGGTTCAAGTGCCACCTCTCCTGTCTCATTTGGTGCTCGATCCCATGCAGCACTGAGCACCCTTGGGAGCTGTTGATTACCTTCAGCTCCAACGGAAGTCAGTGGGTGCTGGGAGCACTCAGCACCTTGCAGGAGAAGGCCCTAGGTGATGTTTGGCTCCTGCTGCTCCTGACAATCCCACAGAACCAGAGAGAGCCTGGGCTGGTTGGAGGAGCTGGTGATGAGCTAGGGAACCTGTCACCCCTTCCTCCCCAGCTCAACGCCCCCACCCCCCACGGGTACCAGGCAGCACTCACTGCTGTCCAATGGCTGCTTGCGTGGAGGGGGGGGGGCCCATCCAGCTCGTAGGGGAAAGGTGACCATGTCCCAGAATAACTAGTTCCGGTGACACAAACTGGCAGCTTCGCTGGTGCCCTGGAGGAGGCCCCTCTAGGCCAGGATCGAGGCACATTGGCAAGGGGCAATGCATGTGGAAGAAACCCTGAGCTGCCCATGCTGCACTTCACTTGTGGAGAGTGGTCTCCGGGGCTGGATCTCTGCCGCCTCTCGGTGCTAGCGGAAAAGGAAACCAGCCAGAGGGACAATGAACTAATTGCATCCCTCCAAGCTGTGTCCCCAGACAATGCACCCCAGCGTGGCTGCCCTTGCGCTTTCCCACGAGAGAGCTCCCCAGGGCAGAGCCGCCTGGGCACGTACTGTAGAGGCGCCCCCAGCCAGTGATGTAGCAGGGATAGTCGTTGGGCAGGACCTCGCCTGCGGGCGGGAGGCAGCCCAGCTGCACTGTGTCACTCAGCTCGGCCTTCCGGGACAGCTTGAGCAGGGCGATGTCATTGCTGCAAGAGAAGGCGTCAGAGCTCACTGGAAGGGCGGGCGGCTCGGGGGTCTGGCCATGGAGCCATCCTCTAGCAGGCCGAGCAAGAAGCCAAGGATGTCATTGGCTCGGGGCTCAGTCCAGGTCTCCAGGGGATAGGTGTCCACAGCATGACAGACCTCCCTTGTGGGCAGCCTGACCAGAGAGGCCTGGAGACTGCGCTCGAGGTGTCCCCCCAGAGGAGGGAGGGGGCAGCAGGAGGGGACCATGTGGGGGCTGCTCTCCTGCTCCACGGATTGAAGACATCACTGCCCAGGGCTAAAAACCCATCCCTTGCACCACAGGGGGACAATATGTCCCTGGCACAGAGAGCCCAGGGTAGCCCGCAGCCCCGCTCACCAGTCCCTTCCCAAAGGAAGGGCAGTGTGTGCTGATCAGGATGTAGACCCCAGCCCTGTCAGGTCACAGGCCTGCCCTGCTCTGAGCGGAGCCCGTGGCCTGGGAGCCAGCATGGCAGATAAAGCCGCACTATTCCCCTGCTGGCTTTTGCAGTGGCCTGAAGGGTGCTGCCCAGGGCACCGGCGACAGGCGCAGGGTCCTTACATGGGAAGAGCTCTGTGTGTGTCTTTCCCTCCCCAGCTGTTCTTATAACGGACTGTTCCCCATCTGCCGCTGCCCTCCCTGGGAGCCCTGCCGCCCCCAGGCGGCGCAGAAGGGCGGGCAGTCGCAGCCTGGCACACGCCTGCATTGCCTTACCCACAGGCCACGCAGATGGAGTTCCAGCGAGGATGGACGAAGATGTCCTCAGGATTCACCGGGATGCGCTGCTCAGAGCCCTCTGCTACGCTCCTGTCGTACTCCCCCAGCACCACCTCGTAGGTGCGGGATTTACTGGAAGGAAACCCCCAAGAGCCTGTGAGGGGACAGCCCGGGGATCGCAGCAGGGGCAGCGTGTGGGGGGGCAGTCTGCAGTGCCCCCTCAGGACTCAGAGGGGTTTGAGACCCACACACCATGCAGGAGACATCACCCTACTCCCTGCGTTGGCCTCTAGCCCTGATCAGCAGCAGCAGCACACACGCCCCAGCTGGCCCGGCCCGGCCCTGGGCACTTGGGGACACACAGCACAGGGGCACTGTCGTGGCCGGACTGGCCCCTCTAAGGAGAGTCAGGTAGGGTCACCATCCAACCGGGTTTCCCCAGACATGTCCGGCTTTTTCAGCTTTAAATGGCCGTCCGGGGGGGATTTCCCCCTTCCCCTCATGCAGAGTGCCGCGCGGCTGATTGGACGGCTGGGCCTGATTGAAAGCCGCTCGCAGCCACTGGGGCCTCTAGAAGCCAGAGACCCTCCCCCGCTCCCTCCTCCCCCGCAGAGCAGCACCAGTGTTTGGCTGCACGTGGAGCCCGCAGCTCTCCCTTGGCTTGGGGGGGCAGGCAAGGGACAGGGATCGGGGGGGTTAGATTGGTCGGGGGCTCTGGGGGGGCTGTCAGGAGAAGGGGGTGTAGAGAGCGGTTGGGGCAGGCAAGGGACAGGGATCGGGGGGGTTAGATTGGTCGGGGGCTCTGGGGGGGCTGTCAGGAGAAGGGGGTGTAGAGAGCGGTTGGGGCAGGC